TACCTCAAAATTAATCCCACTTTAGAGACCTACTTAATAAGAATATTGCAGTGACAGTATTTTCAGCTACTTGTCTTACATAAAATCCAGAATACTTGTCCAATGCACCAGCTCACCACCAAAAACCTGTATGAACAGAACTCAGAACATACTTTGTTTTTTTCCTGATTTCCTCCACCAATTGTTTAATGTGATCCTCCATAAACTCCATCTTCTCATTCTTTCGAGCATGTGCCTTCTGTAGCCTTAGTATCCTTTCAACCAAGACAGCCTTGTCCACCTCTGGGAAGCTATCCACAGCTACTGCAGAACCAGTATTCTCAGGTGACCGATCCTCATTGCTGCTGCGTGCATTCAGGGACCCTGCAAATACATTTGGATTTGTAAAAGCTCTTTTTGCTTTCATAGCAGGCAAAATGTCTCCATTAGTGCACTGTATGTATTCATTACATTCTATTTTCTTCAGCACATCAGTTTCCCTTATACGTTAGTGGGGTTTTATATAAACAGTCCTTAACATTCAAGTGATACATGCAGAGTCAACAGTGCAGTCCCCTAGCATGGGCATAGCTCCTTTAGCATAAGTGTGCTTGCTTCAGTAATACTTATTCCTCCATAAATACCTTCATATTCATTAATATTGCTTTGTACAAGCCTGAGCTGATTTTAAACATACCTGTTTAGATTGAATATTAGGAATAATTTCTTCACAGACAGGGTGCTCAGGCATCGGAACAGGCTGCCCAGGGAAGCGGTGGAACCACTGTCCCTGGAAGTGTTCACAAACCATGTAGGTGAGACCCTTGGTGCCATGGTTTAGTGGTGGACCTGGCAGTGCTGGGGTAATGGTTGGACTTTATGATCTTGAAGGTCTTTTCCAGCCTGATTCTGTGATTCTATGTTTTGGTCTGCTAAAATTGCAGCACTATGAAAACCATACAGATTGACAAAAGCCCTACGTATAAACACTCTGCAACACTGATCACTTAGAGCTTGAAGTATTTTCTTTTCTTCCTCTTCTTCTAAGTGTTTATCTCTCTCAAACAGTTGAGGTTATAGAACACTTTCACAGAACTTACCCAACTTAAAACCCAATGATATTGAGGAAGAAAACAGATGTAGTTTCCAGTGCTAAAGGTAACCACTTCTAACTGGATAGAAAGTAATGAATTTTACACAGATACACTGATGCCTCCAAACATGCCAACTGATTTCTCATTTACACAGTTACAAGTGTCAATAGTGCAATTAAACAAGGTTGGAAGCCACTGCTCATCTTTGCCTCTGGCAGTATGCATGAGGGTCCTCTATATAAACTGGAGTCCTCTGACCATAAAAGCAACAAAGTAAAAAAAGGCAGGCATCAGAAAAAGAACAAGAATATATAAACATTATAAACACTAAACTTTAGTCTTATAATAAGAGTCTACAAATGTGTTCAGCCAAGTGCCTTTTGTTGCTTAAAGGCTATTTGTCAGCTTTACTGGGAGGCTGCCCACACACTGTGTCTGCACAAGCACAGAAAGAGCAAGGCTCGGGGCAGCATGCCATGGCAACCTTATCAAGATGGAAGGATTGCTTCGGCAGCCCCGCTATGAGCTGTATTACCTGATGAACTGGAACGGCTCCCCATGCTGCTGACTTCTTTGTCATAATTACCATTTTCCATCTGATCCAATTTCCTCCGTGCTAAAAGTGTAACAAAATGATGGTTACCAACAGCAGCTTAAAAACCAGTATCTGTTACCCAATACACAAAAACTCAAGTCGCCTCTGACCTGCACTGAGTTAACATGGCTTGACAACTGGAAGGTAATGGTAGCCACTCAAAAAAAAACCCCAAACAGCTCCCTTCCTCTCCCTGCCCCAATCACAAAGCACCTCAATGCAATGTCCACAATGATCCCTACACCCTGCAGCAGTTGTCAGTTGAAGTTGTCATCCACAGGATTAACTGGGAACAGTAAGACTTAAATTTGATTTTGCTTTTGAATAGGACTGCCATGTAAACAACTACTGAATGGCAGAATGGCAACTCTGTTCTGAGATCTCTCAACTACATCACTACTGGGAACTGAGTGTAGTACTTGTGCCAGAAGCACCACTCAATTCAGCAGGGATCCAGAGGGAAAGTGAAGAGCTGTACAAGAAAAGACACAGAACTCTTTTGAGGAACTAGTTGAGAGAAGAGATCCTCTTGGCATTGTGCAAGGCATTTCAAACAGATTTGATGATATTCAAATTGATCTGCATTCAGAGCATATGCATTATTGGGTATTTAATGACTTCTATTTGTTGACAGCATTAGTCATCAGTCTCTCCATATCTATCTTTAAAAACTCTGTTAAATATACTAAAATAAAAAAGTAACTGTCACCAGCAATTCCTGATACAGTCAGCAACTTGGAAACTTCCAGCAACTTCTGAATATACTCCTACACAGACCAGGATCCATATATACCCACAGTGACATTTCTGCAGTCATATACGTGAGAACAAAGACCAAGCTCTATTGAAAATAAATCTTTCATTTTATGTCTAAGCTGATTTCAAAAGCTGTATTTAAGACTGACAATGGGCACTTAGGACTGTTTCCTGAACTGCAATTTCTACTCTACAAGTTCTAACTTGCTCACTCACTTTTGTTGTCTTTGGGAACAGGGAGAGCTTGAAGGGCCACACAAACTACACAGGACCCTCGTCTCTACCAGACACTGAAGGGGGCTGACTTAGTGTAACTAAAAATAATACCAACCTAGCTGAAGTTGTTTTGCAAGATCTTTCAGGTTTGCTGCATGCTTGCGCTTCTGGGTAGCCAATTCATCTTTCAGCTCATCCACATGGGTCCTCAGTGCTGCTAATTCTTCCTGCTCTAAAGCCAGCTGAGCCTGCAATGTCTCAACCTCCAGCTTCCGCTGATCCTCCTCCTTCTGTAGCCTGGTGGCCTGAAATTGCAGTTTTATTTTCAGTCACATACAAAAAAATTCCAGCTTCACCGTACTAAGCCTTAATTCTCCACTTTTCACCTAAGATTCATTTGACATTTAGTACTCAGGCTAAAGACTACCACTGCAAATGAATATGCAAGCACAGTGCAACACTGCCAGAAGGCTCCTGAACTATCCTGTGCTGTATGATGCAGTACCTCACGCAGATATTTTTGAGGTAGTTCAGGAGTCTTCCTTCTACAGCTCTGCATGACTGTACAGAGCTGCTCAGTGCTGACACATTACATTCCACGACACACTGATTTTACTAAAAATTACATTTATCTCATAGTACAAACAGGATGTAGAAAACAGTTAACAGTGATACATTTCTGAAATCACATTTTGATTGTGCCAGTGACACCTGCACAGAGAACAATTCTGTACTTCAAGACAGGAAGAGCACCACAGTAAGATCCCCTCATTCCAGTGCAGTGTGTCTCAGGCATTCTTTTCCCTTAGGAACACGGTGTTCACATCCCGCTCCTATTATACTATCAAACTGGCAAACTCGGTGAGTAGTTGTGGTCAGGTAAGTAAAGACACAAGGTGGAATTCATGTGCCACCTCTTTTATCAGTATCAGACATCTTACTAGAGCATAAAACAAGCTGCACATTGTACTCACCAGATCATCTTTAGCCTGTTGAACACATTCCAGCTGATTCTGCAGCTCTCTTTCGCTGTAAGAAAGCTTATCCACTTGGCTCTGTAAGGAATTGTTTTCAGACTGAAGCTGTGCATTCTTACTGGTTAATTTTTCAGTGAATATCAATAGCTCGGATTCTCTTTTCCGACTACCTTCAATGTCCTTCTGAAGATCAGCAATCAGAGAATTGAAACCATCTATTTCCTCCTTTAAAGCACTGATTTCTTGTTCATCTCTGTCAAAACAATTGTATCTTATTAGGGACAACCTGAGCTTGAGGATAGGAAACCTTACTGAAATAAAAGCATTCAGGTCAAGACAAAATAAGGCAGAGGACTAATTAATGATGCTGGGCATCTGTTAGTCACTGGATCATTTTAAATGCCAAGGGAGTTTGCAAATTCCATTTCATAACATGTGACAGATATCTGTATCCCACAGAAAGATGTCTAGTCATTTACTTCCTCGAAACTGCCTCTCTGTATTTAACTTCATGAGCTTCTGTATTGTAAACAAACCCCTCAAAAACGGATCCTGTAGGTAAGAGGAAAGTCTGCAAATCCAACCAAGGTAGTCATTCTGTAAGAGGACCTGTCTTTAATAGACAGGGAAATACTCCAGTTCGGAGCTTCTCCAGTACAGTGGAATACAGTGACTTCTCAAACATCCTTAGCCAAGCAGTACAGCTCCATTCAAAGGACATGTCTCACCCCACTATCCCTCTACAAGACAGCTCTTGTTTCTACTGAAGCACTCCCACTAGGAGACACTCGATCTACCACTTGCAATCCACTTGAGTGAGAAAGGCTGTATCTTCAGTTACAGTTGCATCTTTCAGTGAGTGAAATTAATTCCAAAACTAAACAGCTGTTAAAGTTAGACTAAAAATTTCCTTCTCTCATTCGCTCTTGCAATATTATTTCATTACTTGTTCAATCACAGGATTTCCTACACCATTCTAAGACCTTATCTTCCAACTGCAGCAGAAAATTCTCCCACCGCTCTCTCACAGGGACTGTGTATATTCAAATTTAATAATAAAATAAAGCTATATAAAACAAGGGCACATATCTCATTTAATTCCCTGTCAGTGCAATTACCAGATGCCTCAATTCACTTTAATCAATCCTGTATCAACATGTTTCTTTAAGCAGAGGTGAGGCTCAGGCAAGCCAAATCATTAATAATTCTGAAAATTAACTATAATTTAGCAAAACTAAGTAACTGAATTCTACTAGAACTCCAGTGCTAGAAATTATATGCTTCCAGCTACCAGAATTAGGAGTTTGTGATTATGACAAGAGAAGTTAACTAGCATTGCACTACCAAAGGATAACATCAGAAGGCACCCTGCCTTCAGTGTGTTTTAGGCTAATTCCACATTTCAGAAGACTTAAGAATGAACAACTACAGCACCGATTTATTTCAGCCATTTATGCTGCAAAATAGCTCACCTATAGCTCCCACTTAAAAACCCATGCCACGAGGCTATGCTTACATTTTTACATTTCCAAACAGGTTCTTTCATTATGACAGGGAAAATCTCCAGTTAACAGTCAGGGTTGAACCAGACAAAATTAAGTGTTTAGACCATCCAAAGAGAGATGCCTAGCTTGTCCTTAAAGTGCTTCAATAAAGGACACCAGGCAACACTGAATGTAATCAGTGCCCAGCTCAGCCACAAAGTTCTTCCCAGTATTCAAACTATCTTTCCTGCAGAATTCCTCATTTTTATCCTTCCTCCAGCGAACAAGGATAGCTCAACATTCCCTTTATAATAGCCTTTCATACATTTAAGGATGTCTCCCATCTTCTCTGCCCTAGGCTGAAAGAACCCCTATTGCCTCCTTTATTCTTTTCTCTTCAAGAGAACAGGTAAGATTGTGTGAATTAAGATGAAATTCCTTCCATCTGCTTGCAAGAAAATGGAAGTCCTTAAGTTTATTTATGCTACACAACAACAGGAAAAACAGAAGTCAAGATTCCAGAACTTCTCTTTCATAGATGGTAACGGAAATTTACTGGTCCAGTTTTAAACCTCTGGTTGAGATTCCACAACTTTATAAAGCTTTCTAAGGAGCACTGGAAAGATGCTAAAGTCATTCCAACAAAGAAATAAAACCCACTATGAAAATTGATGTAGGAATAACAAGTGCTGTATGGAAAGGATACTTAAATAAAATATCCACATTGAACAGGAATAAGAGAAATATTTCAGCATGTCTCAATTCCTGAGAGGAAAAAGATAACTGGAAAAACAAGTCTGCAGTTTCACACTATGATCACAGTCATTTTAAATCATTTGGCAAGATCCCAAGTGAAAAATAATTGTTACTGATTGAAATGTAGCTTCACTTGTCTGACACACTGCAGCTTCCCTAGCAAGGGTCGTGACACTGTGCCAGCAGAGCTGACCAGCACACAACGAATGATTCATTCTCTAAACCTGAGGAAGACCTATAATCACCCAAATATTTTTCAGTAGTGAGAACTGTTCAAAAGCATAGGAGGGACACATGTGGTTCTGCTTAACTGACATTTTGTTTATCCCCATTTACACAGCATCACCAGCATCTGTATACTCCATATGTACCATATAGAAACATGACTATACTCAGACACTACTAAAGTGTTCACGAACCCAACTCTTCTCCAAGATTATTATGACCCTCACATTCTCAAATGAGCAACCTTTGACACAGCAGAATGAATTCCAAGTCCGTTAGAAATACAAGTGCTCTCTATTACCTGAATACAGCATCTGTCAAATACATACAAGTATTTTTGTTAAATACCTTCACTCATTCACCACAATTTCGAAGCAACCTGTCTTTCCAGTTTAGTTGCTTTTTCCCAATCTTTCAATAAAACAAGCACTGGGTAAATACCTAGAAGGTCTAACTTCCTACAGAGTATGCCAAAAAGCAAGCACTTAATGTAATAAAGACAGACATTGAATTAGCTTTATCAATCTCGATCCTCTTGCTTAATAAAAAGACTCCCCAGGTTATCTCCAGTGCTAACAATATTGATTTAGATTAGAAAAAGAAAACACATTAAGACAGGGATTTTCAAACCAAAGATCAGATCAAAGCATCAATAAGTTCAGTAAGGAAAAACCTTCCATATCCCAGTTAATCTTCTAAACCATTCCCCAAAGTGCACAGCTGTACCTCTGATGCTGATCCTGCAGCCGATCCACAGTTTTCACTCTGTCCAGCAAATTCTGAATTTCACTTTTCTGTCTATTAATGATTTCTTTATACTTAGATAATTCATCTTCTGTTCTTAAACGCTCATCTTCCAGACACTTTACCTAAATAGAAAACAAAAATAAATCAGAAACTATTTATTCTCCCAAACTCCAGAACTGAATCATTCTGATCAAATGTTTAAATTCTTACACAAAGCTCTTGTGTTATTTCTTGGTGGCTCAAAGCCAAGCTTAGAACATTTTAGAAGTATTTTAGATTAAAACAGATTTAAAAAAAGGAAAAAAAAAAAAAAAGGAAAAAATAATCAAATTAAACAAGTGTAATTAACATTTTGTCCAAACCCTCAAACTTGTCAGTCTAATGGACCAAGATCCAAAGCCATCACCTTTCCCAGTTACCAAACCAACCCCATACTATGTCTTCCTCTTTTTTAGTAAGATCCTTTTGAGCTAAATCCCTGCTCTGCATACAGAGACTGGCACACTGATCTACACCCTGTTCAGAAGTTATGGACACCATGTAGTCCTTACCAGAGGTCACATGTACTCTACAAAACTGGCATCATAGGAAGAGTTTACAAGTACTTTTTTCTTTCTCCAAAGTTATTAAATTTACAAGATGCTTAATAAAATGTTTCATGTTACACATCTCATCTGACTGAAAAGTGGGAAGAAACAAGACATTGTTGTACTATGGATCAAGTGAAACTCCCTGAGAAAGGCTACCCAGAGTCAACAGTTACATACTGCTACTAGTCTCAAGCCAGCTAGTCTCTAATCACACCATTTATTCCAAAAGAAGTAAAAATACAATTAACAGACTGAATAGAGTCTTGTTCCAAACTCCAAAGTATGCCTTTAGCCTGCCCCACTGCAATCCAGCACAGCACACATTACCTTTGTTCTCAGTGTTCGAAGCTCATCCATGCCTTCTTTAAATGTTCTCTTCAAGTCTTCCAGTTCTTTTATTTTGGCATGATGCACCTTTTTAAAGAGTGAGAAGCTCCTTGAGAAATCTAAATGGACAATGGCACCTCAAAAACATCCAGGCCAATGCACACCACAACAGCAGAGAGGGCTTGAGGCAGAACAGGTACCCTAAAGGTTTGGTTTACTTATTCAAAAAGCAAAACCTGAAAGCTTCTTTATTCTCAAAAGAAATGAGAACAAAAGTGAGATTACAGACTCTGGTTTTAGGTGTACAAATCTATGCCACAACAGCCCTTGAGGTAAGTTCTAGGCAAAATGGCACTTGGTTAACTCCGAAGATGGCATATGCACATCTAAGCTGTGAGCAGGTACTAAATCAGTAGAGAATTCAGCTTCTGGGTTAGCAAATCTCTACACAGAACAGAGACTGTTTCCTGTCTCTTTTTGCCACATACCCGGGCAAAATCCCAGTCAGAGAAAGGCCTGCCTGTCATCTGAATTTGTACTCTAAATTAGAGCAACATTCATGTTTATAAATGAAAGTGCAGTTATTTCATCCTCATTGTATCATACTTTTCCCATAACTTGATTTTTAATAAGTGAATCCAAGGTAGCTGAAAAAAAATCCTCCAAAAAGCAGGTCTGGAGGCAAACACCTAGGATGCAAGTATAATACTATAGGATGTTGTATAAGGCCAAAAATTGAAAGCAGCTTAAAGTACGATTTTCAACATTAAAAACTCATGTCATTCTTAAGTTGCCAACTTGTCTCCCCACACCACAATACTTACCTCCAGGTGATCAGACTTCTCCTGAATTTGTTTCTCTAGTTCTCCTTTAGTTACTCGGAGTTTTGCATCCAATTCATTTGACTTAATTTCTTCTGACTCCTAGAAGAATTGAAGAAATACGAGTTGCAGGGTTTCACATTCCCCTCTCTAGTTTTCTGAGCATACAGACAGCTTTTCACACCACATCTAATAATTCTGAATGTGCCAAGCAAGACCCCCACACTCTTTGTCAATCAAAAGAACCATTCTCCCTTCTATTTAACAACTTCCCAAGGAAAGAAAGCGGTGACTAGTTGTCCTGGGTTCAGCTACAGCAG